AAAAAGACATATCCTGGGCCCTCCCTGGGCCCGTGCGGAATACTCAAAGAAGATAAACCTTCAATCCTTTTGGCGGCCCCTGAGAAAGCATTATAAAAATGTTTTTGTTCAAATTCTGGAGGCATTCTTTTTAAAATATGAAAATTGAATCATTTCTAGGGTTCTCCCTGGGCCAGTTTCATTCTGTTTAAACTACCTAAAAAATCAGATAATTTAAGTATTATTTTTTTAATTTCTGGAGGCCTCCAAAAACCAACAAAAAATCCAGGGTTCTCCCTGGGCCAGTTCCAGGATATTTAAAAAATGGTTTAAACATGTCAAATAATCTAAAATTATTTATCTTCTAATTTTTAAATTTCTGGAGGCCTCCATTTTTTGTACAAAAACAATAATTAAATTCCAGGGTTCTCCCTGGCCAGTTCCCGGATATTTAAAAAATATAGAGTTTGTTTTTGTAGTTATTTGTTCTTAAATTTGTAGAGGCGTCTAAAAAAAAGTTTTCCCTGGCCAGTTCCCGGATATTCAGCAAGCTTGAAAAAAAAACAAGCAAAACAATAAACATTCATTTATTAAAATGTCTTAACTTTCTGGAGGCCTCCATTTTTTATTTTTTTGAGTAATATCCCGGGTTCTCCCTGGGCCAGTTCCAGGATATTGGAAAAAGTTGAAAAACATGAATAATTTGAATAATTAAAAAGATAATAAGTCTTTACATTTAATATATATTCTTTTAATTTCTGGAGGCCTCCAAAAAAATGGAAAAATAGTTTCCCGGGTTCTCTCTGGGCCAGTTCCGGGATATTTAAAAAAAGCAAAAAAATCAAAACAAATAAAGAATTCAAATCATTTAAATATTTTTTTAAAAACAAAAATCTGGAGGCCTCCAAAAATTTCAAATTAAAAAATATAAATAGTTTCCCGGGTTCTCTCTGGGCCAGTTCCAGGATATTTAAAAAAATTGAAAAAATCAAATAATTTCAATAGTTCAAAAAAAAACAATCTGGAGGCCTCCAAAAAAAAGTTTCCCGGGTTCTCTCTGGGCCAGTTCCAGGATATGTAAAAAAAATCAATATTTAAAAAAGAAAGAAAAAGAAATTCAAATAATTTAAATATTTATATTGTTTAATTCTATTGAAATATCTGGAGGCCTCCAAACAATTTTAAAAAATATAAATAGTTTCCCGGGTTCTCTCTGGGCCAGTTCCAGGATAATTGAAAAATTTTAAAAAAAATCAAATAATTTAAAAAATTCAAATAATTTAAATATTTATATTTTTTTAAATTTTTTAAATTTCTGGAGGCCTCCAAAAAATTGAAAAAATAAAAAAAATCAAATAGTTTAAACAATTCAAATAATTTAAATATTTATATTTTTTAAATTATTTAAATTGTTGGAGGCCTCCAGAAATGAAAAAAAAATAAAAAAAAATCAAATAATTGGAAAAAAAATCAAATAATTTAAATATTTATATTTTTTAAATTTTTTAAATTTCTGGAGGCCTCCAAAAATTTAAAAAAAATAAATAAAAAAAACTAAATAGTTTCCTGGGTTCTCCCTGGGCCAGTTCCAGGATATTTAAAAACATTTAAAAAATTCAAATAATTTAAAAAATTCAAATAATTTAAATATTTATATTTTTTAAATTTTTTAAATTTCTGGAGGCCTCCAAAAAATTAAAAAAAATACAACATCTAAATAGTTTCCTGGGTTCTCCCTGGGCCAGTTCCAGGATATTTACAAAATTTAAAAAATTCAAATAATTTAAAAAAAAATCAAATAATTTAAATATTTATATTTTTTAAATTTTTTAAATTTCTGGAGGCCTCCAAAAATTTAAAAAAAATAAAAAATCTAAATAGTTTCCTGGGTTCTCCCTGGGCCAGTTCCAGGATATTTAAAAAATTTAAAAAAATCAAATAATTTAAAAAAAAAAAATCAAATAATTTAAATATTTATATTTTTTAAATTTTTAAATTTCTGGAGGCCTCCAAAAATTTAAAAAATTTAAAAAATCTAAATAGTTTCCTGGGTTCTCCCTGGGCCAGTTCCAGGATATTTAAAAAAATTAAAAAATTCAAATAATTTAAAAAAATCAAATAATTTAAATATTTATATTTTTTAAATTTTTTAAATTTCTGGAGGCCTCCAAAAATTTAAAAAATTTAAAAAATAAATAGTTTCCTGGGTTCTCCCTGGGCCAGTTCCAGGATATTTAAAAAATTAAAAAATTCAAATAATTTAAAAAAATCAAATAATTTAAATATTTATTTTTTTTTAAATTTTTTTCAATTTCTGGAGGCCTCCAAAAATTTAAAAAAATTAAAAAATCTAAATAGTTTCCTGGGTTCTCCCTGGGCCAGTTCCAGGATATTTAAAAATTTATATTTTTTAATTTAAATATTTATATTTTTTTTCTGGAGGCCTCCAAAAATTTAAATAATTTAAAAAATATAAATAGTTTCCTGGGTTCTCCCTGGGCCAGTTCCAGGATATTTAAAAAATTTAAAAAATTCAAATAATTTAAAAAATTCAAATAATTTAAATATTTATATTTTTTAATTTTTTTAAATATCCTGGAACTGGCCCAGGGAGAACCCAGGAAACTATTTATATTTTTTATTTTTTTTAAATTTTTGGAGGCCTCCAGAAATTTAAAAAATTTAAAAAAATATAAATATTTAAATTAATTGATTTTTTTAAATTATTTGAATTTTTTTAAATTTTTTAAATATCCTGGAACTGGCCCAGGGAGAACCCAGGAAACTATTTATACTTTTTAATTTTTTTAAATTTTTGGAGGCCTCCAGAAATTTAAAAAAATTAAAAAATATAAATATTTAAATTAATTGATTTTTTTAAATTATTTGAATTTTTTAAATTTTTTAAATATCCTGGAACTGGCCCAGGGAGAACCCAGGAAACTATTTATATTTTTTAATTTTTTTAAATTTTTGGAGGCCTCCAGAAATTTAAAAAATTTAAAAAATATAAATATTTAAATTATTTGATTTTTTTAAATTATTTGAATTTTTTAAATGTTTTAAGTATCCTGGAACTGGCCCAGGGAGAACCCAGGAAACTATTTAGATTTTTTTATTTTTTTTAAATTTTTGGAGGCCTCCAGAAATTTAAAAAAAATTAAAAAATATAAATATTTAAATTAATTGATTTTTTTAAATTAATTGAATTTTTTAAATTTTTTAAATATCCTGGAACTGGCCCAGGGAGAACCCAGGAAACTATTTAGATTTTTTAATTTTTTTAAATTTTTGGAGGCCTCCAGAAATTTTAAAAAATTAAAAAATATACATATTTAAATTATTTGATTTTTTTAAATTATTTGATTTTTTTAAATTTTTTAAATATCCTGGAACTGGCCCAGGGAGAACCCAGGAAACTATTTATATTTTTTTAAATTTTTTAAATTTTTGGAGGCCTCCAGAAATTTAAAAAATTTAAAAAATATAAATATTTAAATTATTTGAATTTTTTAAATTATTTGATTTTTTTAAATTTTTTAAATTTCCTGGAACTGGCCCAGGGAGAACCCAGGAAACTATTTATATTTTTTATTTTTTTTTAAATTTTTGGAGGCCTCCAGAAATTTAAAAAAAATTAAAATATAAATATTTAAATTATTTGATTTTTGGAAATTATTATATTTTTTTATTTTTTTAACTATCCTGGAACTGGCCCAGGGAGAACCCAGGAAACTATTTAGATTTTTTAAATTTTTTAAATTTTTGGAGGCCTCCAGAAATTTAAAAAATTTAAAAAATATAAATATTTAAATTATTTGAATTTTTTAAAATTAATTGAATTTTTGAAATTTTTAAATATCCTGGATTTTTTTTTTGATTTATTTATTTATCTATTTATTTATTTATTTATTTTAATATCCTGGAACTGGCCCAGGGAGAACCCGGGAAACTATTATTCATAGGCCCAATTCTTCCCTCTTACGGGGGGGGGGGGGGGAGGGAGGGAGCTCCAAACGTGATCCGATTCCCTTGCTGCTTGCTTGACGAAGGGGAGCAACAAATTAAACGTTAACAGTGAAGTGGTTGGATTTCAACCACTAAACCACAATAAGCAAAAACGTAAAATGTTACCCAACAACAACGATGGCTGGGCTACATTTGTTATGTTTAAGAATCCACTGGCTTCGAATATCGCAGAAACTTTATGAAAGCACCCAAACGGACACCTAAACGGGACGCCTTCCAGGTTGGCTTTCCGCATCATCATCCCTAAAAGGTCAACTCGGACATGCCAAAAGGAGATGAGGACGGCCAAATGGATCCCCAGCAAATGGATGTGCCTGTTCTTTATTGAGAACCAAACTTCCAAAGGTTGAAAACAATTCCGTGAATGGCAACCATTTGAAGGAATTGATGGCTCTTGTTGTTCCAAATGGAAAGCCAGAGTAACGTGTTTGTCCATGCTCGGTTGCTTTCTGCTCCCCTGCTGAAAGTGACTAACTCTTGGTGGTTTAATGGAAAACCCATTAGTTGGCAAAAAGTTAAAGTCCTAACATCCAAGCAAAATGCACCAAAGTCATGTGTTTGGATTATTAACCCCCAAGGTCAACAAGGTCCAGAAAGCCGGGTTTTGGGTTGATGAAAAGGGCGGGGGGGGGGCATTTTGGGGGGGGGGGAGTTGTGTATCGTCAAATGCAGCTTTAGGCCTGGCCTTCAAGGGGCGCCGGATTTCATGAGCCCGTGAAACACGCTGTCAGAAAATGGCGATGCGTTTCCGGCGAGCCTTCCCTTCCGGTCAGAAAAGCAACCCTCGAAAAGAAAAATGAATCGTCTTCGGACGTGACCATAGGGTGTTGCAATCAATTGGCCTATGCTTTGGGGGATCCCACAATTTTGCAAATTTGTGTTTTCCCACATCTTTTTGTGAAGCCAAGAGCCGCCCTCGCCGAATTCTTCGACGAACCTCTCCGAGCTTTTTCCTTTGGCCGCGGTGCGGCTCGCTGATTCGCCCGTGTCGCCTGAGGTCCGAGGGGCGCAGGCGCAGGTGGCCGGAGCTCTCGTGGAGCTGGAGCCAGGTCTCGGGCCCCTCCTGCGACCCACAAGTCCAGGTGGAAAAGGGGGGGGGTCTGATGGAAAAAGGTGGAAAGAGGTGGAACCCCCGGAATGGTGTGCATTCGGAATCCTTCCAAGGGGCAGAAAATCTGATTTGAGAGCGGGAAGATGCTGGCAACATGTTGCACTGCTGTGCCTCTTGTAAAGATCGTATTTTGGGGGGAAACTCATTGTGTCTCCAGTTGCTGCAGAAATGAAAAAGCAAAAGGGGAAAACAAACAACATCTTCTGAAATGTGTCACATGGTGGATGGTGTTCAATGCACATGGCAATCGGTTCCACTTGCTATGTCAATGTGAGCCAAGTGACTACCATTTTTGGTAGACACCACACAAATACAAACATCTGCATGCCAAGCCGTGTGCTGATTTTTCCGGAACTCGTCTCAAAATGGGAAGATCACCAACAAGAATTCGAAGAACCTCACCTGACCCGAGCTTTGGCCTGAAGGCACCGATGGCCCCCCGCGAGTGGTATGCAAGGGTCTACCAGATTTTATACTTCGCCTGGGGCTGGGTGCTTGAAAACCCACATGTGGGTTTTTGTCTTTTGTGCTTTTCCTTCATGGCTTCCCTTGTCCTCCCCTTCCCAAAAAAGGAGGGTAGCCTCCAAAAAAGAGAAACGAACCTGGGGGCAAAAGGGTCATCCGACTCCGTGGGAGAGCTCCGTGTAGGAGTCGATGATCTCCACGGTTTGCCCGATCAACTCCTGAGGCACGAAAGCCTCACCCACCACCGCTCGAAGCTTTACTGCCATTTGCTTAAGCCCCCTGGAGAAAAAAAAAAACACATATTTTTCCAGTAGTGATAGATTCGCTTTAAAGCCAATAGTAAAAAACAAAAAAGAAACTTAAACAAATGGAACTTTAGAGGAATCCATGTGGGTGTGCCTCAAAAAAAATGGGATCCTCACCCCCGCCTGGTGATTGGTGTCCTTCGGGTTCTTCATGGAAACCCATTCAAAAGGGGGGGGTCCCCTATTTTGAGAGATCAGTCGCTGGGATCTTTCAACCACATGTTCTGGTAGGGGCGAACTAGTTCAAATTCTTCTGCCGCACCAACAAAACATGTATTTTTTGTGTTTTACTTTTTTGTTCGGGTACAACATGTCCTAATCTATGGGAAGGGGGGACCCCAGTAAACAATTTGGGGGAGGCAACAAGTGCCACAGAAATCATCCAACAAACGAACCCATATGACTTGTTGGGTTCCGTCCACGAACACACGCCGGCAACACACACCTCTAGGGTTGCAGTTTTGCTGGGTCCAGATTTCAGTAAGGCATCTTCGAATCGTCAAGTTACCCTCATGTCGGCATGTCGGACCCAAAAGTAATGAAACGAGAAGCCCGCCCCAAGATGGGACTTAAGGACCCACCTTGATTTGTGCTGCTTTTGTTGAGGGCACCCTGTTCACCTGGAACCAACTGCCGGGTTGCGCAAAGGAGCCACTTGGATTTGGGCTTCTCTTTCTTTTTGAGGGCACCCGTTTTTTTCTTCCCCCCTTTGGGGGGGGGCACCCGGGTTTTCCACACCGGATCCACTTCGGGGTTTTCTGTCCCGTGCGGTTCGTGTCCCGGGGCCCCCGGCGGGGTGCAGCTGCAGCTGCGGCGCCAGCGGGTGCTCCGCGGAGCCGCAGAGGACTTCGGCGAAGTGGGGCCGCGCGCGGCTGGGCACGCCTTGGCTTGGGGATTTGGCTACGCCTTGGAAAGGATTTTGACGTCTGGGTATCCAAACGCCGCATCTGGGGGGATGGAAATACACAGACCGACGTGCAAAAACATTCTGGGATTCTTAAGCAAGTGGAAGGGAGGGTTCCTGTTGGCTTGTCCTTTCTGGGATCCCCAAATCCACAAAGGGACACAACTACAAGGGAAATCAGGACGGCCATCTGGCAGGATCTCGTGGATTGATTTGGAACCCAGCACAGAAATAAATACTCGGTTGCTTTCTGCTCCCCTGCTGAAAGTGACTAACTTTTAGTGGCTTAACGGAAAACCCGTCAATTGGCAAAAAGTTAAAGTCCGAACATCCAAGCAAAATGCACCAAAGTTGGGATGTTGACGATTGGGGAAGAAACCCGAGCCGATTGGTTTCAAGCGGACTGCTCCAAATCCTGAGTGGACCAGTGCCAAAAAAGGTCCGAACTTTATCTAGGTCCTCCAGCAGAGAGGTTCGAATATGTTGGTACCAACTTTTTTCTGTCGTCTATTTTAGTAGCGGAACCCGACCCCAAACAATTTGGTAGAGAAGGGCACCTAGCTGCGGGACGTAGTTGTATTTGCCACCAACATGGTCCTCCCAGTCTAAAGTCCAGGAACTCAGGCAGTGAGCTTGTGCCCTGCGTAAACCTGGTGTCTGTTGCTTGCGGGTGTCAGGATAGGGAATGGAACCCCCGCAAACGGTTTTTGTGTTGCTTGAAACCAAGTCCAAGAAAACTTAGAGCTTGGGGACTCAGTTGCCCAACGCCCAACCGAAATTAAAAAAGGAACCCCCTAAAAATGGTTCAAGCATAAAGGGAAGCCAGAAGGTCATTTGAGGTCGCAAGCAAGTGTAATCAACTGTGCAGCCACTAGGGGAATTCTGATGTATTCCAACACCGGGTGTTGTGTTCGAACAATTCCAAACCTGCAACAAGGCAGTCTGACGATTTATCCTCTCAATCTTGGTTTGAAGGGACAAGGGACGCCTCGAAACGGGTCCGAGTTGCTATGGGTTTCCATGGTCGGCAGGTCGCTGATTCAGGAAACCCCGCTTTTCCGCAGCCCTGTTTGTTCTCGTTTTCGGTTTCGTTCGAAAAAAGCCACCCAAAACAATCTTGCGGTTATATTTGGGCGGGATCCAAAGGTCAAAGCCGAATGGTGGAAGGAGCTTGCTGTCAAAGGCCAAGGAGCAACGCTCATGGAGGCTCCATATCCAACTAGGTCCTCCAGTAGAGAGGATAAGGGTACCGTTTCTTTTTTCTGTAGTCTATTTTGGTAGGGGAACCCTCCCAACCAAACAAGTTGGTAAAAGGGCACTACTGGGGGACCTAGCCAATCAGCAAAAGGAAAGGCTGAGGGCCAAACAAACCAAACAGCAACCAGCAGCACTTAAGAGTTGCGGACATGGGACACAAGTCGTTGGACATGCGCTCTGTGATGTTTGCCTGATGTCTGCAGCTCCGTGACAACTTGTTGGTTGCTTGCCACCTAGGTCCTCCAGTAGAGAGGTTAGAATAAGGGTACCAACTTTTTTCAGTAGTCTATTTTTAGTAGGGGAACCCTCCCAACCAAAAAAGTGGGTGAGAAAGGGCACCTAGCTGGGGGACCTAGCCACTAATGTAGCCTGCACCATCTTTTCTGCATGTTCGAATACCAAAGTGGGCCATACCGTAATACCCATGACTACGTCACTGTGAAGCGGCTCCCTTGTCACACAAAGTATCCCTACCCAAAAAGCCACGCCAAAAAGAGTGGGTCTGCTGAAAAGCCCAAAAGGGACCATCCCTAAAATTGCTTGCGGTTCATCTCATTGAGGGCATTCCATCGATTTTTTAGGTATTTTTCAGATGTAGCCTCTAAACAAATCGCCGGCCATCTGCTTCCAGAGATCCCAGGTCACCTTGCCCCGGCGAATTGGTGGCTGGGCGAATTGGTTTGGACGTTGGGCCTTTGGTCCCTTCCCCGCGAAGGAAGCGGGGGGCTGAACCACCAAGCCACATCACCCAGTCTAGGGGTCGATTCAATCGGAAACCCATTGGTCTAGTCTCAAGGTAGACTTAAACCAAGTGGTTCATTTCCCCCGAAAGGAGGACGGGTTTAAGTCGACTTTGGGGCAACACAAAGTGGAGCCCTGACTGGTTCTTCTAGGGGTCGATTCCTCTTCCCATTCCTTTCCAACCATCGTTCTTTTCAAAAACCGGCCGTCCGTTTTCCAACCGGTTTCAGGCGGTGTTCTCGAAAGATTCGGATCCCTGGAAAGAATACAAATAGAAGGATTCCTTCAGTAAAACAGGACATCCTCCAATCAAAATCAACCAGGGCTAGCAAACCCAAAATCAACAACATGGAACCCCAAAAACAACCCTCATTTCCGGAGGAAACTCCTTTTGGCTTCCGGAGGTTTCCTAAGGATCCCTGGAAATAATGGAAATGGAAGGTACCCTTAGGATTTTCGGGGAACCAGGCACCAAAACCGAGAGAAACGCCGACCCCACGCTCCACCGACATCTCCCAGCGACCAAGTTGCCGTAGAACTCCTCCTCGTAGCTTTTCTTCTTGCGGCCTAGCCGACATCTCCCAGGGGGTCTGCTAGGTCCTCCAGTGGAGAGGTTCGAATAAATTGGTACCCGTTTTGATTTGCTCTTGTGTTTTCCTGTAGTCTTTTTTTTGGTAGGGGAACCCTTCCAACCAAAAAAGTTGGTGAGAAAGGGCTCTTAGCTGGGGGACCTAGTCTGTGCCCCAAAAGGACAACTCCTCTCGACTCGGTTGCAGCCCTGCTAAAAGTGACTAACTTTTAGTGGTTTAATTTGGAAAACCCATGAGTTGGCGAAAAGTTGAAGTCCAAGCATGGATTTCGGTTTTCCTTTTGGCTTGCGGGCCAAAAAAAAAGAACGCGCCGCCCTGATGTTTCTTTTTGTTCCATGTCAATCTGCAGGGGAGGACTCACCCAGGGGCTTTCCTCTTCTCCCAAACTAAGACATAAAATCCCCAAGTGAAGTCCGATCCCCAAACGCAGCTTCCTCTTTTGATTTTCATGTCAATGTTGATTTCAGGTTTCGTTTAACCCCTGGTTGATTTTGAGAGATGGGGGGGGTGGCCGCTTTTGGAAGTGAGGGCTTTTAGGGGTTCCCTGTTATCAATCACAGTGGGTTTTTGGTGAGCCCCATGTGCTCATAATAGTTCCCCATGCCATCATGAGCCTAGTTCAACTTTGGTTCAATTCCTTTGACAAAAGGAATTGGACAAAAAAGAAAACACACGGATATAGGTCTGTGCTTTTTGAGGGTACCCTGTGTGGGGGGGTGGATATTTTCTCACAAGAAGGATGGAGGCTGACGATCGGGTTTTGAATGACTACTTTCCTTTTGGGGAACCCGCCCAGAACTCTTGTTGGGAGTCGGACCCCCAACATGTTTTTTTGCGTTTCCACTTGGTTTCCTCAACAAAAAAAACGGGCACCCCAAAACTCAGGACACCGTTTTGGCTGTGTCACTTTTTAGGAATCGGAATCCCAATGGATTTCCTTTGAGACCACAAAAAAAAAAAACGGGTACCCCCAAAGACAGACCCATCTCCCTTGCTTCCTTAGGCTTCAGCTCTTGGGGCCCCAACTTGGAGGTAGCGACCCCTTTCCTTCGTTCAATGGTCTTCCTTGCCATGTAAAGACACACCAGAACAAAGGGATAGCGCCCAACCCCAAAAAGGTGCCCCGCCACCCCCCCCACTTCCCCTCCCCCGGACGCCATTTTGTTGTCCAGAGGCTGAAGCTTTGGCACTCTCCCACTCATCTCGCGCGCCCTTTTGTGGCCGTCGGGCGCCAAACACGCAGTTTGAGCGCGAAATTCCGCTCATCTTGTCCCGGGAACAACATCCAGCAATGATTAAAAGAAAAAAACCCTTTGAAGAGAGACAGAACAACTATGCTGAAGCAGGGCTGTGGGAAATGACCACTATTGTTCAGTGACCCTGGAAAAAAAGGGAGCCCTTTTTTTCGGGAAGACAATTTTTAGTGGGGCAGCCACTAAAAAAAAAGGTAAAAAGGGAGCCACTGAACAGCTGAGGAGACATAAACAACTATTCTGAAGGGACTGGACGCAAATGGGAGGAGTATTCCCAAACCCTCCATGAGCTTCCGCGCTTATATGCCGTTAATTCACAAGATTTGGCCGGGGTAAATTTTAAAGGTTCTGTCCCCCCCCCCCCCCCCCCGGAACCACCGTTTTGGACAGTACTTGGGATTTTGGACACGAAAAACAAGTTGTTGAGCCCGAAAGGGGGTTCCCGTAAACCAGAAATGCTTAGTTTTGGAAGGCTCAGCTGGGGGAACATGGCTTTGTCTCAGAATACGGGGAAGCTACTTAATATTCAGGGCTTCCTTTTGCCTCCCCAGTAAAAGTACCGCATTTTTGGGGCCCCTCCAAAAAGACACGCCATGCCTTCCACTTGGTTAAGGCCCCAGGAAAAATGCAAAAAAGTGTGTCCAGTAGTGATGATTTCCTTTTAAGTCCAACAACAAGGGGAAAAATACAAGTTGGCTTCCCTTGGGTTCGCTGGAGTAAGAAAAGGAAAACATGGGCCTGAAGGAAGCCAAAAGAAGGCGTTCAGGTGTTTGGGACTGAAACAAATGCTTTCCGGTTTGCTGAAGAACTTCCGACACGCGTCGCGTCCATTGTTGAAGGCCTCTAGCCTTTGCTGTCAACATATATATGGGCCTTTCTTTCGCCCCACGGATTTCCCCCCAGGTTTGCAGGGATCCCTACATTATACACCTGAACATTGCCTTGTAAATGGTGGTGTCCCTCTATTTGGGTGGAAAAAGCAACATGTCTCAAATTGTTGCAACATGTATTTTTAAGGAGCCCTGTGCAGTCATGCTCGTTTTTCTTCGCTTGCCGCTCATTAAAAAGAACTGTTGAAGAAACTCTTCGTAGTGTCAGCACGCATGTGCGTTTTTGGCCACGGCATCCGCAGATTTTTGCGTCCCTTCCTTTCGGGTCTTTCCGTTTTGGGTGGTTTTAGAGGGAAACCAAAAGGAAGACCAACATCCATTTCGGGGATGTGATCCCTCTAAAAAGACATGCCCATTTACCATGGTGTTGCCCCCCCGCAAACATCTACTTTGGTACCCAACTTCTTCTTTCAAATTTAGTCCAAAAGTTTGCGGGGGAAAAACAAAACAAAGTTCAACAACACCAACGTTCAAAAAACCAAAGTCCAAAAAACAAAAATCCAAAAACCCAACATGTTACATGCCCCAAACCCAAAGTCCCAAAAGGGGAGTTCGGGCACCCCGGGCGGTAAGGCTCAGGGAAACCCATGTACTGACGCGCAAGAAGGGAGTGCTTCTGGAAGGGGAAATGGGGCTGTCTTCTTTTGGGGTTTCCCTTTAAGACAAATCCAAATGAAGGAAAGCCAAGTTGCAAAAAGTCAAAACGTTGCTTCCGCTAATTCTGATGGGTTTCAGGGAATCTTTGAAACCCTCTAGATTTTTAGAAGGGTTGCGATTGCCCTCGGTTTGCCACACCGAGATGTCTCGACTTCGCCTCGTTGGGCAGTGGAAATCCGCCGCGCGCTGGATTCAACCATCGGGAAGTCCCTCCAAGCCTTGTCCTGGTTTCCTACACAGCCAAAATCTGGTTTACGCCAAGAAGCAATACATGTCCAAATAACTCCCCAACGAATGAACTGGGAATCGGAACCCCCTTTTTGGCCCCGCCAACAAATATATAAAGAAGACCCAGGCATAGTGGAACATACATCCTCCCCCCCCCCCCCCCGCACCCCCCAATGTCAATGTTACACTAAACACAAGCGCTTCTCATGTCATCGGGGTTTCATTTAATTCGCCCAGCCTGACCCTCCAGACGGGCAATAACATTGAAATTGGGCGGGAGAGGGGGGGGCGTTACAATTGTAAGGGTTTGATTCATTCGTCCACCTGCAACCGGGGCGGCACTGATGAAACGGTTTGCACCAGACGGATGAAATCCTGGGATAACCCACCTGCCAACTGGTGCGAAGCCAGTTCTGTGACCCAGGCTCCGAACAAAGGATGAACCCACCAATCCACCGGCTTGGGGAAACTGTGTCCTTGAACGGACCCTTTGCTTAGACACAGGGTTTTAACCACACTCCGTTGGGATTCCCCTGTTATTTTTGTTTAAATGCAGCCATGTCTTTTTCCGTAACAAAATGGTTGCCCCATCCTATGTACCCAAGGCTTGGTAAGGAGGCTTGGTTGACGTTGGAAGTGGTTGGATTTCAAACCAAACCACATCAAGCAAACATGCAAACTGTTTCCCAACAACAACCATGGAGGGTTCCCGCGGGAGGAGCGAGCAGCGAGCGAGCAGCTCAGTGCTCGCTGAAGAAGGTCATCAGCGAAACCCCGGCGAACTGCAGGCTGAAGGAACTCCAATACCTAAGATCCGATTTGCTGAGCCCGGATCTAAGTAGGGATCCGTCCTAGTGAAGGAATCAGTGCAAGGAAGAAAACACCCCCATCCCTCAAAATCAAGGGGTTTGCAAATCTGAAATCAACATTCAACCAACCCTTAATTTTGGAGGAAACTAGAGCCCGGATCGACCTAGACCTTTTGTTTAGTGAAGGATTCCTTCGGGGGTGATTCCTTTCCCATTTTTTTCAAGCATCGTTCTTTTGAACCGGCTGTTTCCCTTGGGTTTTTGCTGGTTTCCTGAAAAGAAGGATCCCTGGAAAGAATGGGGAAGGTACCCCTAGAAGGATTCCTTAGTAAAACAGGACATTCCCCAATCAGAATCAGCCAGGGGTTTATTAGCCCAAAATCAACAACCTGGAACCCCAAAAACAACCCTTATTGTTAGAATAAAAACAAATTCGGGATCGGACCCCGAAAATGGTTTCTATGTGTTAATTGGGGAGAGCTCAAGGTTTTCTGTGGTGAGTTGGTTTTTCAGCCGCGTTTTTTGATCCCACTGCTTCGATGTTCGGCCCAATTGATGCCTTGGAGCCCAGTGGTATGGAGGTTTCGGGTAACATTCCATTTTCCCTCTACAAGAACCAGGGCTTCAAATCAGAACCTGGTATTGAAATTGTGTACCCAAACCCATGAAATGAATTCAACCAGGTGGAAAAGAAACACCCATTTATTGTTGGGATTCTCCCTAACCTTCATCTACCCGTGTTTTTGTGTACCCAAACCCATGAAATGAATTCAACCAGGTGGAAAAGAAACACCCATTTATTGTTGGGATTCTCCCTAACCTTCATCTACCCGTGTTTTTGTGTACCCAAACCCATGAAATGAATTCAACCAGGTGGAAAAGAAACACCCATTTATTGTTGGGATTCTCCCTAACCTTCATCTACCCGTGTTTTTGTGTACCCAAACCCATGAAATGAATTCAACCAGGTGGAAAAGAAACACCCATTTATTGTTGGGATTCTCCCTAACCTTCATCTACCCGTGTTTTTGTGTACCCAAACCCATGAAATGAATTCAACCAGGTGGAAAAGAAACACCCATTTATTGTTGGGATTCTCCCTAACCTTCATCTACCCGTGTTTTTGTGTACCCAAACCCA